TTTTCTGAAAATTTTGACCCATCCCAGAAGAGGAAAGGCATAATAGATTGCTAGATCGACTCCCACTGTACCTTCTACTTGACATGTCTTCATCTGGAGGACGCAAAGATGCAAAACGTGTGTCTTGCTGGTGCTTTCTACTGCTGCAACCGTACGAAGACATGGACGAGGGGAGGACGATGAAGAGGGGCAGAGTACTGCCTATACGCTCCATGTATTTGGACGTGAGTGAGGCACAATTTCTAACGCCGATGTTCACGCCATTTGGAATTAAAAGCGTTGGAGAAATTGTTGTTCTTGGAGTTATTGATGCCGTTGAAATCATCGTGTATCATCGAGCATGTATTGCTGCTCTGTCGCATGTGTCGCTATTGAGATCATTCACGTTGGGATTGCTGGAATAGTTGGGATTAGAAAAGGAAAAGGAATCGGGTCGGGTTAATTTAAAGGATGGGTTGAAAGAAGATTGGAAAAGAGGAGGGCTTGGAAAGTTTGGAGTATGAGTTGGCTGAAATTAAGTAAAAATTGGTTGGGTCATTGTGAAAATGGACTGGGTCGACTGGATGAAAAGGGGTTTGGGTTGGGTTAAAGTTGGCAAGTAGTTGGGCTACTGGAAGAATTAGAGAAGGCCCAAAGTTTGGTTTCTTTAATGGGTTTAAGGTGAGGAGGTCAAGGATGTGTTGGATCTTGAGTTTATAAAATAGCCAAATTGACTAAAATAATTAACAAATTCGGCTCAAATTTAAATAATACGGATTCATATTAATTAATTAACAAGTTTCTTAATCTTAACAAAATAAAATAATTAACTTAATTGTAAACTAATGATTCTAAATTACAAACAAAATTTACAAGATTAATTTAATAAAATAATTACTAGACTTAAAATCTATTTGAGATAATTTTCGAAATGTTTTGTAATATAAATTAATTGCATGCAAAATTATATAAAACACATATATTTCTTAAAAATTATAAAAATGATAGAATTAATTAAAAGTAACTTGAAAAATATTTTAAACTTAATAAAAACTAATTATTTCAAATTGTTCGAATTTAGGAAGCTCGACGATTAATTATTATTGGGGAGGGTCAAAATTAGGTGTCAACAATTGTCCCTTATTTTACTTGGATTAATGCAAGAAATTCGAGGAAAATGAAATTGACCAATCCAATTTTGACCAACCACCTATTCATCTTTAAGAAGGGATTAGGTATGGACTTTAGGAATTATGACCGAACCCTGAAAATGTACTTCATACATATCTCAGACTATCTGAGATTTTCAGACAACTTGTAGTTCGATACACTTGATTTATCGCACGAATTCAAAAGAATTCGATACCAAATTATGAAGGGGTCGAGATGCTCGAAAATAAGATTTAAGAGTGAATGTTGGAATACAACCAAGTTTTCAACACTGCCCACCTACATATCCTTAGACCTTAGGAATCAGGCGTTTGTAGTTCGATTCGATCGATTGAAAAGGATATCTATCATGCTAGATAACCTATGTTTCTTGAGAAGTGACAAATTAAGTCTAGTATGAAAAGGAGTCTTGCAAAATCTTAATCATGAATGTGTTGCACTTCACACCCATAATTAAGAACTTAAACAAACATAATTTCCAAAGCTCTTGGTGAATTGTCACTCAGATTGGAAAGTTGCTTTCGGTGAAGATCCAAATTTCTAGATGCAAAACTGAAACTGACAAACCTAAAGAAAGACCCACATGCCTTCTGATAGGGGTGTAATTTGATTATGGTGGAAGTCGCTCCTCTGCTCGTGTCCAAAGAGTTTGATACTCCTCCTTGGACTATATCTTAGTTCGATGCTAAGAAAAAGTTCCACGTTGTGTTGCTCCTTTTTTATGTCGTCCGCATCTGTGGTTTGTTTTGGACAATTCATCCTTTCGGATGCTCTCGACAAATACTGATATAAAACTCATTAGCATACAATTCAAATGGAACATAGTATCTTTTTACCGTGTTGACACTTATTTGCTCTCCTTCAACAAGTGACATCAACATCCATTAGGTTTGACATAAAGCAAATAAATCTTATGTCTTATGTTTGCAATATAATCTTCAAGTACTCTTTTTTTGATGTCAAAATAATAAAAGGCTGATGCAGTGTGGATATTTTTCTCGATGTCGTCTTTGATGATTCTCTTGGTGTTTACTCTTGCCAAATAAAAGATGCGGTTGATGTTGATAGGTAAATATTACTCTTGAGATGCGCGATTTTCTTTCCTTACAATGCATAATTCCTTTTCCGCGATGCATGGATTCCTTCTCTTGCTATTCATGTCATTCTTTTCGTGGTGCATGGATTCCTTCACTTGCAATTCATGACTTCTCTTCCGTAATGCATCAAATCCTTCTCTTGCAATGCATGATTTCTTTTTCGTGATGCATGAACTCCTTTCCTTGCAATGCATGACTTTTGTTCCGCAATGCATGGATTCCTTATCTTGCAATACATGACCTCTTTTCTGCGATGCATGAATCTCTTTCTCTTGCAATGCATGACTTCTTTCTCTTGTAATGCGGGACTTTCCCTACGATGCATGAGTATCTTTCTCTTGCAATGCATGACTTTTTCCACGATGTACGAAGATAAGGGTGACATATCTCGATGCTGCACGAAGATGATACTTCATCGACTAATACATGTGATCTTCTAGGTATCTTTTGAGTGGCAGTTTCATATCAATCGATAATACAAATAATAAAAATAGAAAATAATGTCCCTCGGAGTAGCGGTGTCATCTCATTCAATAATATGGTATAGATGACTCTTCGAGTAGTACATTATCATGTCTGATAATACAATGCAGATAAATGTATTTCAAGTATCTTTAGTTGACGAAAACCCGTAAAATATCTTTTCTCGAGTTATTTGTTTTATCTTTGAACATAGTTTTATGTTCATTATAGACTTCGTGTTGTTGGGAATCGAATGAAATAATGTTATTCATATTCCCAAGTCTTCGATATAAGCAACATAAAATATTTCCTGCATCCACGGAAAAATTGTAAATTTTGGGGAATCTTTGCCCCCTGACTTCTCCATATTCATCGGATGGAGGAATTTTGTGATTTCAAAGTGAACCTATAAACCTGCATCCAGAAAAAATTGTTAGTTTTAAAATGAACCGATATGTGTTGATTTCTTCAGTAGTCTATTCCTTGTCCTGCTATCTTCGGTTGATTTCTCCGTTCTCCCGCATCTTGATAGATAAGACAACATATTTTATGCTGAGAAATACATGAAACATAAAGGATAAAATTTTAAGAAAATAAATTTGCAAAAAAGTAGTATTTGAAAAGGGTCACTACCAAGAATCATGTCACGTCTAGCTTAATAAATGTCTTTGAGGTTGATGTCTTTTAGTCTATCTAATTACTTGGTGGAAAGCATTCAAAGTTACTCTAGATTATCGATGAACTCATGCTGAAATTTTTAGGCCATCCTCAAAATTTCTATACTAGTAAAGTGTCGATGAATCAGTGTCAAAATTTTTGAGATTTTCTCAAAAATTTTGTCCCGGTTGTGAATCTCGAAATATGTTTCATCTTGACTTGTTGAGGAAAATTCTTCTTCTCGAGAATTTTGGAGTCTTACTCAAATTCTGTTCCAATTTCTATTGGCACCAAAAATAGAAATCTTATAGGAGATATGACCGAACCCTTGTGGCGCCTACGTATCCCATTGAGGCATAAATCAGTTCAAACATAGTTCCCCTAAAGGTCAATAAAATTAGAAATTTACAAAGAAAAATGACCGACGCAGACATAGGCCTCGTACGTATGTCATTCGTGAGAATTCAGGTTGAACGTAGTTCAAATACAAAGAGATATTATTAAAAGGAATAATGGGTGATCAAGGCCGACATAGGCCGCCTACATATCTCATTCTTTAGAATTCCGGTCAGACGTAGTTTGTTACAAGAGGTATAGGTCTATAAATAGAATAATTACTAGTGATGGAATGATTACAAGTAAATAACAGAAACACAAACTAAAGCTTAACACATAATATATCTTGACAATATCTGAGTTGATCGGTTTCGTCCATGCGGCGCCATCCATCTCTAACATGATCAAAGCGCCTTAAGATAATACCTTGTGAACCATGTAAGGTCCTTGCCAATTCCTTGCAAATTCCCCTTTGTACTCGTCCTAATGAGGAAAACTGCGCTTAAAGACCAACTGGCCAACCTCAAAAATTTTGGCTCTGACTCTGTTGTGGAAAGCGCGAATCATTCTTTGTCGATATAGTTTACCATGACAAACAACAACTATTCTCTTCTCGTCAATCAACACTAATTGATCCATCCGTTTACGGACCCATTCCACATTACTTAATTCGACTTCTTGGATGATTCTTAATGAAGGTATCTCAACTTCAGCAGGTATGCATACTTATATTCTGTACACTAACAAGTATGGAGTAGCTCCAATTGACGTTCTAATAGTTGTTTGATAACCCAACAAAGTATATGGCAACATTTCGTGCCAACCTCGGTAATTGACAATGATTTTCCACAAAATCTTCTTGATGTTCTTATTGGTGGCCTCTACAACTCAGTTCATATGAGGACGATAAGTAGTTGAATTTCAATGACTAATATTAAATTGCTTACATATGTCTCTCATCAAGTGATTGTTGATATTTGCACCGTTATCAGTAATGATATATTTTGGTACTCCAATCTTTCATCTACAACTTTCTTGGTCACCGACTTGTACAAAGTTGCTTCCACCCACTTGGTGAAGTAGTCAATGGCAACAAAAATAAAGATGTGTCCATTAGAAGTAGCTGGATCTATTGGACCTATGACATCCATGCCCCCAAGCTACCAACGGTCAAGGTGAACTCATATCATTGAGTTGGTGAGGCAGCACTCGAATCAGATCACTATGCACTTGACACTTGTGACATTTCTACAAAAACTTGCAACAATCATTCTCCATAGTCATCCAAAAATAATCGACTCAAAGGATAATCCTTGCAAGAGTGAGTCCATTCATGTTCGTACCACAAATTCCAGCGTGTATCTGTTCAAGAAGCTTTGCGGTTTCAACAACATCAATACATTTGAGAAGACCTAAATATAGAGTCTTTCTATAAAGGATTTCCCCACTTAAAAAGAAATTGAGAGTCATACGTCGTATCGACTTCTTCTGGTTGAATGTTGAATTCTCAGTATAAATCCCGGTCTCCATATACTTCTTGATATCAAAATAACATGGCAAACGGTCCAGTATTGCTTCAACATGTGAACAATGACCTGGTTGCTCCTTTAAATCTATATCCATAGGATAGATATATTAGTATCTGGATGTTTAATCATTGAGGCGATGGTGGCAAGAGCGTCATCCAACTCATTCTGCGTTCTGGGAGTTTGGCTGAACTCAACCTTGTGGAATATCTTGCACAACTTTTGTATATATTGCACATATTGTGTGATGTTTGGGTTTTTCATGGCCCATTCTCTTAAAATTAATGAATTAACAAGTATGAATCTCGGATAACCAGCAACTCATGGACATGTATGTCAATGGTTATCTTCAACCCAAGAATGCATGCTTCATATTCATCCATGTCTTTCGTGCAATTAAATTGGAGTATAGCTGCCATAGGATAGTGCTGACCAGATTTTGATACTAAGACAGCTATGATACGTCTTCCTTGGTGGTTTTTCGCTCCATCAAAGAATACCCTCAAACCAGGGTATGCTTCAGAAATATTTTCACCCACAAATGGTACCTTTTTATCGGGGAAATAAGTCTTAGGCGGCTCATATTCTTCATTGACAGTATTTCTTGCAAGATGATCAGCCAAGGCTTGCACTTTTATCGCCTTCTGGGTCACATACACAACATCAAATTCACTCAAAAACTTCTGCCATTTAGCCAAATTTCCGATCGGCATCACCTAATGGAAAATATACTTCAACGAATCCATCCTGGATATGAGGTATGTGGTATAAGAATACAAATAATGTCTCAAATTCTGAGTAATCGAAGTCAAATCACAACATGTTCTCTTCAGAAGAGTGTAACAAGTCTTATATGAAGTAAATTTCTTGCTCAAGTAATAAATTGTTCGCTCTTTCTTCCCTTTCTCATCATATTAACCGAGCACGCACCCAAATGCGCTATCCGAGATAGACAAATACAATAACAATGGACTCCCCTCTTGCAGAGGAACCAACATTGGCAGATTGGACTAATAGTTCTTGATGGCATCAAAAGCAGCCTGACATTATTCGATCCATTTTGTCAAAGCATTTTTTTCAATAACTTGAAGATAGGACTACACACCATGGTGGATTGAGCTATGAATCAGCTAAGGTAGTTCAACCTTCCCACGAAAGTCATCACTTCCTTCTTGGTCTTCGGAGGCGGTAATTCCTAAATTGTCTTGATCTTGAAAGGGTCAAGCTCAATGCCCCTTCTGCTGACTATAAACCCCAACAACTTGCCAGCTGGTAACCCAAAAGCATATTTGGATGGATTTAATTTTAAGTTGTAGCAACGTAGGCGATCAAAGAACTTATTTAAATGAGTCAAGTGATCCGAACTCTCGCGGGACTTGATTATGACATCATCTACATATACCTCAATTTATTTGTGAATCATGTCATGGAAGATAGTCGTTAGCCCTCATATAAGTAGCACCAACATTTTTTTTAAATCAAATCGCATCACCCTATAATGATATACACCCCAAGACGTAATGAAGGTCGTCTTCTCTGCATCTTCTTCATCCATCAGTATCTGGTAATAACTCACGTAACAATCCACAAATTACTACATTTCATGCTTAGCATAGTTATCGATTAGAATGTGAATATTTGGCAACGGGAAATTATCTTTTAGGCTTGCTTTGTTGAGGTCTCTGTAGTCGACACAAATTTTGATCCTCCTATATTTCTTGGCGACCAGAACATTGGCCAACCAAGTCGGGTATTGCGTCACTTCCACTAATTGAGACTCGATTTATTTGGAAATATCTTCTTTAATTTTTAAACTTAAATCAGGCTTAAACTTCTGAGCCTTTTGTTTTACTGGAATAAAATCTGGATTAATCGGAAACTTATGGGACAACACATTCGTACTCAACTCTAGCATATCATTGTAAACCAAGACAAATACATCAATATTTTATTTAAGAAAACGAATCAGGTCCCTTCTTTGAGTTTCAGTTAGATGGACGCTAATTTTGACCTCTTTGACACTCCTCGTCTCCACAATTCATAGTCTCAGTTTCTTTCATATTCGACTTATGTTGATTCTCGAACTGCTGAAACTGCTCAACAACTTATTCTGGCACGTTATTTTCTTCTTCGTATTCTTCACCTTCGTCATCACCTACCTTATTTTGTTCATTTGGCTCGTGACACGATATGACATTGGCAGGTTTTAAATTAATATTACTGAAATCATAAAAATACAAAGTTAGGAAAATAAATATAGTAAATAAGTAAGCAAACAAAATTTTGATAAAAGAGCCTTTCATTCAAATTGAAAAACAAACGCAAACTTTGGCCATGGAGAAGGGTCATATTGCCTTTTTAAACATTATGAGGGATTTTAAAAATTCAACGATCAAAGAAACTGCAAAATGGTGGCTCTCGGGCCTTTTTTAGACTACCACCAATTTTCAAAACATGCATAAACAATGTCCTTTCTACCAAGACGTTCGGGGAATCAAAAGTTGCATGGAGGTCTAGTTTTGCAGCTTCTCCCTTGGCTCAGCGTCGCGGATACCGGATATCTCGACCTCATCCTCTATGACAACATCAATTTCTTTAGAAAGGCCCCAGACTTCTTCCCCAAGCCCATCATCATCGGCATAATCTCGAAAAAGAAATGATTGGTATAGATGAGAAATTGGTCTGGCCAATGCTTGATCAACATTCTTGCTCTTCATCTCTGCTTCATCATTTATGGGGACGTACCCTAAACCAAACCTTACTCCTTTGGCAGGAATTTGGATAGTCTCGACAATTCCTTGGAAATTCTTTTCCAACCCAAAACCTGGGTAGAATCCATTCTAAAGCGTCACATTAGCAATCATTTTGTATGCGGCAGAATAGGGGTTACGAAGCCAAATTATCATCGGTATCATTTGCCACCTCCACTATGTGGAAATCACAACCTTGAGAGACTTCATCAATGATTGGTGCACGCCCATTGGAATGACTTCCTTCATCATTAATAACCAACTCCTGCTCATTCCAAACAAATTTCATCAGTTGGTGAAAGGTAGAAGGCACATCCCTAGCAATATGGATGAACCTCCTTCCCAAAAGAAGGTTGTAGCTAGTGTTGACATCCAACACCTGAAATTCCACGTTGAATTCTGCAGGACCCATTTGAATGATCAAGTTTACTGCCTCCAGTGTGTCTCTTTGCACCCTATCTAATGCCATCAAGCTGACTTGGTTCTGCTAAAACTTTCCCAAGTCAAGCTTTAGCTACCTTAGAGCCGATAGTGGGAAAATATTGAGACTGGATCCATCATTAACTAAGACGCAGTTTATAATCCTTTTTCGACATGCAACTGTGACATGCAAAGCTTTGTTGTTCATCCTCTCTTCGAAGGGAAATTTTTCATCACAGAAACTGATTCGATGCCCTCGGATGACCTGGTTGATCATAGATTCTACATTGTTACTGCTGGTAATCACGGTCACATATATGTTATCCAAAGCCTTCATTAGGCTTGTCTGTACAGCTGTAAACTCATCAATAGAGCCCACACAAAAATCTGGGCCGGGCTCTTATCCAAATCCTTACCGATCGAATAGTGTTTGGGTTGCATTTTCCTCCAGAACTCTTCAGTTTGGCCTCACTTATCGGCTTTTTTGCTTCTACCCCATGAGCCAACTCTTCTGGCATATAAAATCTACCAGACCTGGTCATAGCTTGAGTAGAAGCAGTTTTAATCACGAACCTTGGTCGGGCTGGTGTTTCTATTGGCACCAAGGCAACAACCTTCTCCGATGTCAGAATCACGAAGTCTTTCTTATCTCTGATTCTCTACGAAGCTACAACCTTTTCCAGTTTGTCGTGAACGATCGGGACTATTGCCTTTGTTACACCCTCAAAATTAACTTAGATAGCTAGAGCCTCACATGTGTCTCAAAAGGTTAATAACATGTTAATAAAGTATTTTTATAGATAGTATAATTGATTTTAAAAGGTTTGAAGGTCAAACGTCCAAGAATGTCCACGACGTTCAAAAGTTGGTCTTTAGACGTGCTAGTGTGTCTTTATATGTTTGCCTTGTTTTTATGTGTTGTTTGAAGTCCAAAAATAGTCGAGTTGACTCTAGTATCTTAATATACATATTAAGGGTAAAAGCGTTTGGGTACGAATCAGAGGCTTGCTGCTGCACGCTTCCTTGGGCGCCCAACACGCAGCATACTGCCTCAAAAATTATTTGTGGCAAAAATCAGAGGCTGCCTTCGCAACGCACAGCCACTTCCCAGATTCGGTTGCGTCATTTTAAAGTCAATTTGGACATATCTAAAAGTTCAATCAGTATGGGGTTGTTTTGGTAACCTTGGGGGACGTTTATGAACTTTTTTTAGGACCTATTTAACCCCTTTCCCAAGCCAAAATCCCAACACCCATTAATAAATCAAAAACCCCAAAATTCTCTCTTCTTCCAAAAACCTCAAAACCTCATTTGAAGACCAAGATCAAGAACAAGCTATGGAGGTGGATTCTTGGAGCTTTATTCTTATATTTTCATGGGCTTTATAATGTAAAAGGTATGGTAATTCTTCATCCAATAGATAACCATTCATCCATGGAGTCCTTTCACAGCTTTTCCAAACATGATTCTATGTCAAAAATCCTATCTTTCAATCTAGCCATGGGTTATTTCTAAAATGGATTTCAAAAGCATTATAATGATGAATATATGTTTAGGTACTTATATTAGATAAAAATGAATTTCTATCCAATTTTATGAAGAACCCATGATCCTCCTAATTCCTCAATCGACCTATAATGTGGGTCTTGTGATATTGATTTCACATTTATAGAATTGTGATTAAATTAGATTATGTTAAATCACTTATTTCTATTAATATCTATATCAATTGAATATGAATTATGGAGGAATGATGAAATATGATTATTAGCTTGGAGACTTGGTAAGTTGACCTATTTCCTCTAATTAGCTTAAAATGTATATTGAATTGTGTTGATTGGTATGGTCCACTTATGGTGGCGGTGTTTACACTCTTATACATGTTTATGTGTTATGATCATTGCCTTGAAGGCATTAGATTCAAGAT